ATATGAATGAAATGATTACATCCTTAGTCAATTTTCTCACAAAATAATGTCTAAGTCCTACTTACCTAGATTTTATGTTATACAATTTTTGTATGCTCTAGGTAAAGTGACTTGACTACCGTAATGTATCAACTCCTTTGAAACATTAACTTTTATCAATGAAACTTCCAATAGAAGGTCCCTCAATGATTCAGCTTCTTCACCAGCGGAAGTAAGAGTCTCGATCTCTGATTCTATGATTGAGAGAGTAACCCACATTTGTTTCTTGCTCTTCTAAGAAATTTCACTCTCAGCTAGTGTAAATATCTACCCAAATGCAGATTTATGATATTCAACACTTGATATCCAACTCACATCGGTATATCCATCTAATATGGAAGGAAATCTACTATAATGGAGGCCAAGATTTTTGGTTTTCATAAGATAACTGGAATTCTTAATGATGGCCTTCCAGTACTCACCATTTGGATTTCTAGTAAAATCTACTCATTTTACTAATTGCAAATATTATGTCGGGTCTAATACATTGCATGCACTTGCATATTTCAATTGAGTCACAACTCTTCCATCATTCTTTTGAAGTTTGACACTATGATCAAATAAAGTGGTCACTTCCTTAAAGTTTAAGTATTTGAACTTATCAAGCACTTTCTCAACATAGTGTGTTTAACAAAGTTCATAATCCCCGCTATGTCTTTGATCCTCAAAAGTGTCTCAACTAGTCCAATATCCTTCATCTTGAATGTGAAAGTTAGAAACCTCTTTGTTTCTAAAATTCCATTCATCTTGTTGCTAATGGTCAATCGTATAATCAACATGGAGACAAATTAATATCACAATATTCTCGCACAACTTTGTGTACAAACAATTGTAACAAGAATCAGATGAAAAAGGTTTTTAGATAATCATGCAAGATGATGCAAGAAGGTTTTAGATAAAGTGAGAGATAAAATTATGATCAATTTAAAATAGTATAGTATAAGTTGCAATGAGCACCTTATTTATGTTTATTTGTCTTAAATCTTCACTTGAATTTATATGTTAAACCTTCTTGATCAACTTCATTATTGATGTACATGACGCTTTTGAACCTTTTCTCCTTTAATAATATTTCTCTTCATCAAAATTAAACTAGATATAAGATGTATTCCTCACAATCTCCCTCTTTTAATAATGACAAACTCTTTGAAATCGCGTTTTGATAATGATTGAAAAATCTCCCATAAATTGTGTATCTCCCCTTAATTGGTGAATCTTACAAAGATAGAGTCAAACTTTTGATGTCATTGTTTTGGTGTTTATTTTAATCCATGCAAGAATTTTTCAAACTTGCACACCTTTTGTTCATTTTCGCACAACCTTCTAGTTTTTTCATGTAAATCTTCTAATCGAGATCTTTATTTTGTAATGTCGTTTTGACATCCATCTGAAGAACTATAAGATCATGCAAAGAAACTAATGCAAACAATACTTTAATTGTAGCCATCCATGCTACCGGTGCATATGTGATGAAATAATCAACACCTTCTTTTTGTCTAAAAACTCATGGCTAGTAATCTAGTCTTGTAGTTGTTTAGTATACCATCACTATGATACTTGCTTTTAGATACCATCACTTCACAAGTGTTGTTTATTTCTGAATTCAAACCTACTACAATACTTCACAAGTGTTGTCTATTTCTAAATTAAAAAACTAACCGTCACTTAAATATTTTCTTGTCATTTTAGAACACACTCAAGATTATTAATGATCAATAATTTACAACAATGTTAAGATGTATCATGTGCTCTTTTCATTTAATCTTTGATAGGTTCTGCTTTTGCTTCACCAAATGTCAATGTAGTTGTAGGTGAAAATTGTAACATGTATATTTACGAGAGTTTACATGAAATTGTTTCCATTTTGTCTACAAATTGGAGACATTATGATATTATTACATTACCCATGCCATTCCGATGAGTAGTATACTCACAACAATTTCATTAAAAATGTTAATAAGTAGTTTAACAATAGTGTAGTGTAAATGCTTCACATATGACTTGTTATTTTTATGTTTCTTTCCTACTCCCTCCATTCTTATTTATAAACAAATTTTAATATTTTAGTCCATTCTTATTTATAAACAAATTTTAATATTTTAGATTTATTAGCAAGTAATATTTTCAGTTTGATTTGTGAGTTTAGTAGTCAAAAGCTCTATTTTATTTGTGAGATTAATTTGTGCAAAATCTCTAATTTGTTAAAATAAAGTTTGTGGAAATATTCTTATAAGCTCGAGACATTTTATTAGTAAAACTCTCAAATAAAATTTTTTGAGGAGACGAGTATACTAAATGATAGACCGAACCTCTATAAATTTTAGGAGAACAATTGTTTAAATTATTTGTTTTATTTTTTTATAAAAAATATCTTTTAAATTAATCACTATTAGTGAATATATAATTCACTCTACCTTATATTTTGACTCAGCTGTTCAACAAATACTATTATAATATATGTTGAAATTAAACCCTATAATTTTTTTTTATAATATATATATATAGTTTGCATCTCTTAAAAAAAATTTGATATCCAAATTTAATCAATTTAATCGTATCTAACTTGAAAAACCGCTACTAGTGAAATTTTATTTTACAATTTTCATATCTTATTGAACATTACCCTGCTGATTATGCTGTTGCTAATATAATATAAAACAGTGAATGGCTCTGAATATTACCAATCATGCTTTCACTTTACTTGCTATATAGAAGGCAACCAAACCTGTTATAAGTCACGTCAGTTTGTACGTTATTTTTTTTTTTTTTTGGTTTTCTATCGCAAAATCTTGTTCCATCCTTTTCTCTCTCTTTAAAATTTTAAATTTTAAATTTAAATTTCAAATATCAAACTTCTCAGACACACTTTTTTAATTCTTTTATAAATCATTTTATCTCATTCACTTCCATTTTTATATTTTATTTTAATTATTTTTCTTCCTTTCTTTCATTCTCATCTAATTTTACTTCTCTAAAATATATATTTGGTTGGCAGCAAATGTCCATCCTATAAAAAAAATATAAAAGTTAATGGTAAGTAATTAATTTTTTTTTCTTATTCTTTTATTTTTAACTTTTATTAAAATATCAAAATTTTGTTTTAAAAATATAATTAAACTATGATAACTATAATTTTTTTATGATGTTCTTAGAAAAAATTATTAAATTATTATATACGGTATTAAAAATATATATTTTGTTCTATTATTTTTTAAATATATTTTTTTAATAAAAATATATAGATAAAATATGTCAATAGTAATAAGGCAGAAAAATATAATTCTCATTTATGATAAAAAATGATGATGGTGTAAAAGAGATAAATAAAAATATACATATTTTTTTGAAGTTTGTGGCGATAAACTAGAGGATAATGTATGAGGATTGGGGTTATATGGTGTTCTCAATTTGATTTTCAGAATTTAATAGTTGTTTATTGAAGAAATTTGTTAAGAAGGAGGAATGAGTTGAATGTCTAGGGTTCGAAGATGATGATTCAAAAACATGTTTTTAGAGACGTGTGGATTTTTTTATTTTGTTCTGTGGTAAAGAAATTGTTCATGATTTTGATGCTTTTGGGTTCTGAATCTTTTTTGAATTTTAGATTGAATTGGATTTTTTTAACTATTCTTAAATTTGGACTGTTATCCGTTTATAAGAATGACAACGAGTGACATTGAGCTATAATGAAAAGACTTGAGTGAGATGGTCAGTTTTGTTATTAAGAGATAAGAGTGAAATTTTAGAAGATCAATTGTGATACAATTTATACAATTTATTATATATTCTAATATTATTATTTTCTGTGATAACCTATCATAATTATTTATACCAGGAATTTATTCTAATATATTTGTCATTGATATCTAAAAAATTAATAAATATTTATTAAATTAAATTAAAATTTAAAATTGTTATACAATTTCCATATTTGTTGTTTCTTAATAAAGAAGATATAGTATTTGTTTTAATTTATTTAAAATAAATTTGAAATTATTAGTTTTTTATAATTTCAAATTTTAATAAGTAAAAAAAATATGTAGTGAAACTTTGGTAGAGTTATTTTAATTAAAATTAAAATTAATTCAATTATATTTAAGATAAATTATATAACTTTATAAATTTTGTGTGAATGAACCTAGAAGAAAGTGTATATTTTAATATTGTATTATTTCTATTTAAAAATAATTGACTTATTTAAAAATAATATTAAAAAGAATGATTAATTTAATAAAACATTGAATATTTTTTAATTTAAAAATAATTGACTTATTTAAAAATAATATTAAAAAGAATGATTAATTTAATAAAACATTGAATATTTTTTATTTTTGATTTTTAAGGTTCATTTTTATAACTTTGAATTCAACATATTTTATTGTTATGCATTAAAGATAAATAAGTATGAGCTTGACAAAACAAAGATAAATAAATATGACAATTCATTCTGAGTCAAATATATATATATTTTTTGGTATTAACTCAAAAATCACGTTACAATCCAAGGCGATCACATGATCCAGCCAACAAACAAACTAATTAAGGTAATAGTAACCTAGCTATATGTGGTCTAAGCTTAGGACTAGTCCACCCTCTATATACTATGTTGTTTATAATACTATCTAGGCAATTCCTATTATCTGTTCTTTGATTAAAACAGGAATCATTCTGATACATCCAGAGCTCGTGAAGAGTTTTCGCGAGTGCAAGCCTAAATAAATCAGATTTCCAGCCTTTCCCACCATAATTTCTCAGAGCCCATTGCATTTCCTCTTTCCATCTTGTTGGGATGCGTTGAATGCCCATCCATTGAAGAACACCACTCCATATTTGCTTCAATTTGAAACAACAGAAAAATAAATGATCAATGGTTTCCTCTTCATTACAGAACCCACATTTGTTATTCTGGAGCATACCCAGTCTGAAGAGTCTAGCCTTGGTAGGTAGCTTGTCATGGCATATCATCCATAGAGTAATAATTGCCGGGGGTCTGGCTCTATTGTGAAGAATAATAGTTTAGCCCATGTAACATTAGGAGTAATAGGTAGAAGACTTTGATATACTTTTCTCCCAAGAAATTTACCTGTTTGCAGTATTTCATTCCAAGTATTCTGTATATTTACTAGACTGTCCCTTTGTAGAAGAATAGTTTTGAAGATTCCAGAGTCTGAGGCCTTAGCAGTTCTGGTCAGTATACCCTCGTGTCTTAAGTAGTAAGCATGTATCCATCGTACCCATAGATCATCAGATTTCGCAAAGATATTCCAGAGCAGTTTTATCATAAACATTCTATTCCATATTTCCAAATTCATCACATTTAGTCTGCCTTTCACATGTGGTTTACAAACATTATCCCACGCCACTGGACTCTTCCTACTGATAGTATTACCCCCTGTCCACAGAAAGGACCTGCATATTGCATTGATCCTATTAATCACAGTTTTTGGAAACCAGATACATTGCATCCAGTAGGTAGTGATGGCACAGAGTACACTCTTGATAAGTTGTAGCCTGCCTGCATAACTCAACAGTCTAGAGCTCCAATGAGTTATTCTACTTAATAATCTGTCTAACAACGACATGTAATGGATAATAGCAAGACGCTTACTAGTCACCTGAATTCCAAGGTATCTAAAGGGGAAGGTTCCTTCTTGGTAGGAAGTTAGCTGAAGGATGGCACACTTGACATTAGCAGAGACATTACTAAAATACACCCTACTTTTGGAAGAGTTTATTTTCAAACCTGTAGACTCCAGAAACTTGTTCACAGTTAAATGCAGGATATCCATAGACCCATAATCTCCTCTAGAAAACAACAACAGGTCATCAGCAAAGGTTAGGTGGGTGATTTGCAGCCGTTCACATTTAGCATGATGATTGAAGTCAGGGTTTTTTTGCATTCTGAACAGCAATCTACTAAGATATTCCATAATAATTACAAAAAGGAGAGGGGATAAAAAACTAAGTGGTTAATAATATATATTTTTGTAATTAATAAAATGGAAAAGTTGATTGATAACACAGTTTTATATTTGTTTACAAAATAATTTATTTTTAAAATAATATTTATACATTAAAAATATATTTTTTTTTTAATTTTTGAAAAAAAGATTGCCATATAAATTTAGTGAGCACGTAAATATTTACATCATTTTTGTGTCAACCTAGCATAGCTGAAATTAATTTATCTAAGATAATGCTTTGGATAGTGTCGAAAATGTCATCTATTCTCTCCGCTTTGTCAACTGTTGTGGGATATTATGGTTGGAGATATTCTTTTAAAACCTTCATAGTAAAGATAGTATCCATGTCGGTGTTAATGTATTTTCTTGCTATATGATAATATTTGTAGAGAAAATGTCTTAAAAATTTCAAATATTTGTAGAATAATGTCTTACAATTTCAAATAAATTAAAAGAAAGAAAATATATGTTTTCGAGGAACATATGTTTTTTGAGATTGATAAAAATTAGAACGGTCACAATTGCGAAAACCAATAAAAAAGTCGATAGCGGCATAGCCAAAATCGTGGGATAGTGGCCTAGCGAATCATGGTGAAAGACAGTGGAGCCGAAACCGCATGCAGGAGTATGTCGGTTGACAGCGGTGGTCCGGTGGCTAGAAGCAGAGGTCTAGTGGTTGGACGTGGAGGTATGATGGCAACTCATAATCAAGCATCCTACTTTCGGCAACGACACAACTTTTGAAATTGTCAATGGTTGGATAGGCGACAATGGGTCTAGTAAGGCGCATTTCAAATGGGTCGTGTTTTAAATCTATTTTGAATATAGTAAACTTTAACAATTATAAATATATATCTCTATCATTTTGTTAATAAATCTAAAATACAGAAGAAAAAATTGGTAATCTTCACTAAAGAGACAAAAGTAAATTTTATTTAGAGTTTTTGAAATATGGGAATCTTATAAGTAATTGAAAAGATTGAGAAATTCTTCTAAGCATGTTGGGTTTTTGTCATTCATTATTAGATACTAAGAGATTAAGAAATACTTAAATAAATAATAAGATTTCTTCTTGAGAACTAGATTGATTATTTACTATACTCATTTGTAATATTTCATAATAATTTTTGAAAGTATTGTAAATCACAAAGCTTCTCTGTCCTTTATTTATTTTAATAAGCAATGAGATATCATATGACAATAAACATGAATATAAAAGAATACTCAAAACCCTTACAACAAAAGCCGCAACTAATGGCTTATAAGATAAAATAAAGAAAGGGGTGGATAAACAATTTCACAATAATATTGTGTTAAGATTACAAATTACAAGAATAATTGTGATGTAATAATGGCTTGTATTTTATAATTTTTGAATGTAAGACTTGTCATTGAATTTATTTTCCACTAAGTTATTTGTGTGGTTGATCTTTGCTTGATCCTGTTTTTGCTTCATCAGATGTGGATACGAGTGAAAATCGTAACATGCATATCTGTATGAGTTCACATGAAGTTGTATCCACTTTATCAAACAAGTGGAGATAATATGAGTTTCTTTTATAATACTTACATTTTTATTATGAGTAAATGCAATTTACACATCACTTTCTCGCTAGTTATGTGATTTCGTTAGTTGTCGCATATGATGTTTTTAGCAGTAAATTTTTGTACTTTTAAATACTTCTACTGTAAATGTATTTTTGTTTTTGCAGGTTTAAATAAAGATTTTAAATATTTGTGAAAAAGGCTAAACTAAGTCAAAAACATTTTAACCAAACAGATTTTATAATTTTTTATTGTAAAAGTTATGATGATAAAACAAAGAAAAGACTAGAACACAAGAAAAAAAAACATAGAAGAATAATGCATTCAATAACAACATGCTTAAATTTTATATCGGCGCGATCCAACTTCAAATAGTCAAAGCACGACATGCTCATAAGACAATGATACAATCCAAACATTCTTCGAGAATCACAAATCAAGATAATCATTAATAGATGCACTCCACATGGCATAGTGGCACAATTCTAACATTTGATTCGACTCACATGTTTGCATGACTCGAATCACATAAATGAGTTTTCATATGTTATTGGTTACTGACTCAAATCACTTGATCTTTTGACTGTAATCATACTCCTTGATTATGACTCGAATCATACACTAGTTTCACTCATTTTTGTGCTAGATCTCCAACACATATAAAGCATTTTCACTCAAAATCTTTCACAATGTTGAAAAACATACACTTTCACTATTGATTTTAAATTTCGCAACACACTTGTTCTCTCATTTTGAAAAGGGTTTTGAATTTGTTTTGAGTATTTTGTAAATGAATTCTTTCATCTTCTACCTCATTCTTTTTCGAATTTTGTTTGGATCTAATTCTAATTTGTTGAGATGTTTGATATTTTAAGATATTATATTATTTTGCAAAGTGTGTGTGGTTGTGGGTGGTTTTGACAAGTCCAATAGAAAAGAAGATGGTTCTTCTTGTTAGACTTATAAATCTGCACATAAGAGGGGGTGTATTGTGTGTTTCAAAAATAATAGTTTGAAAAAAATTTACAATTATTTTCAAAGTTTAAAATTATTGTGAAAATATTTTAATAAATTAGCAGCGAAAAGCTAAATAAGAAAAAAAAATATGTTAAGGGTAAGAGAAGTAACACCAGAAATTATAGAGGTTCGATTGAAATGAAGTGACATAATCCTCTTTCCAAGATTTGATCTTGAGAGTATTCAATAATTCTTAAAAGCTTTTAGTAGGATGAACTCTCGGACCCCCTTAGACATAACTTTCTCGCTTGTTATGTGATTTTATTAGTTGTGTCATATGATGTTTTCAGCTGTAAATTCTTTACTTTTAAATACACTTATTGTTAATGTACTTTTGTTTTTGTAGGTTTAAATAAAGATTCTGAATATTTGTGGGAAAGACTAAACCAAGTTAAAAGCATCCTAACCAAACTAATTTCATAGTTTTCTATTATGAAAGTTCCTACCCAACGCCTTGTTCATAAATGAAAATATGGGAATTATAATTTACTTTTTGCAATAAAAAAATCACCTTAATCTCTAAAAGAACACTAATAGACCATCATCGTTACAGACTTGAAATGGACTGGAACAAGAGTTGCACAAACATCCAAATCAAAGACTTGTTGTTATCTATTGAATCTTAAGTTAAGGTTTATTAACTTCAGATTGGGTTGCTACCGTTGTCAGAACCCTTATTCAAGGAGTTTCAATCCCATACCTCTCGAGATAGTCTTTACTAAATCTCTCGCTAGTGGTTTGGTAAATGGATCAAGAAAATTATAGGTCAATCGTATATGAATGAAATGATTACATCCTTAATCAATTTTCTCACAAAATAATGTCTAATTCCTACTTACCTAGACTTTATGTTATACACTTTTTGTATGCCCTAGGTAAAGTGACTTGACTACCGTAATGTATCAACACCTTTGAAACATTGTCTTTTGTCAATGAAACTTCCAACAGAAGGTCCCTCAATGATTCAACTTCTTCACCAGTGGAATCAAGAGTCTCGATCTATGATTCTATGATTGAGAGAGTAATCCACGTTTGTTTTTGCTCTTCTAAGAAATTTCACCCCAAGCTAGTGTAAATATCCACCCAAATGCAGATTTATGATATTCAACACTTGATATCCAACTCGCACCGTTATATCCATCTAATATGGAAGGAAATCTACCATAATGGAGACCAAGATTTTTAGTTTTCATAAGATAACTGAAATTCTTAATGATGGCCTTCCAGGGCTCACCATTTGGATTGCTAGTAAAATCTACTCGTTTTACTAATTACAAATGCTATGTCGGGTCTAGTACATTGCATGCACATACATATTTCAATTGAGTAACAACTCTTCCATCATTCTTTTGAAGTTTGAAACTATGACCAAATGAAGTGGTCACTTCCTTAAAGTTTAAGTGTTTGAACTTATCAAGCACTTTCTTAACATAGTGTGTTTGACTAAGTTCATAACTCCAACTATGTCTTTGATCCCCAAAAGTGTCTCAACTAGTCCAATATCATTCATCTTGAATGTGGAAGTTAGAAACCTATTTGTTTCTAAAATTCCATTCATCTTGTTGCTAATGATCAACCGTATAATCAACATGGAGACAAATGAATATCATAATATTCTCACATAACTTTGTGTGTAAACAATTGTAACAAGAATTAGATGAAAAAGGTTTTTAGATAATCATGCAAGATGATGCAAGAAGGTTTTAGATGAAGTGAGAGATAAAATTATGATCAATTTAAAATAGTATAGTATAAGTTGCAATGAACACCTTATTTATGTTCATTTCTCTCAAATCTTTACTTGAATTTATATGTTAAACCTTCTTGATCAGCTTCATTATTGATGTACATGACGCTTTTGAACCTTTACTCCTTTATTAATATTTCTGTTCATCAAAATTGAACTAGATATAAGATGTATTTCTCACAATCTCCCCTTTTTTATAATGACAAACTCTTTGAATTCACGTTTTGATAATGATTGAAAAGTCTCCCCTAAATTGTGTGTCTCCCCTTAATTGGTGAATTTTACAACGATAGAGTCAAACTTTTGATGTCATTGTTTCGGTGCTTGTTTTAATCCATGAAAGAATTTGTCAAACTTGCACACCTTTTGTTCATTTTTGCATAACCTTCTAGTTATTCCATGTAAATCTCCTAATCGAGATCTCTATTTTGTAATATCGTTTTGACGTCCATTTGTTGAACTATAAGGTCATGCTAAGAAACTAATGCAAACAATACTAGTCATCCTTGCTACCGATGCATATGTGATGAAATAATCAACACCTTCGTTTTGTCTAAAAACTCATGGCTACTAGTCTAGTCTTGTATTTGTTTAGTATACCATCACTATGATACTTGATTTTCATACCTACTTGCATCCACTCACAAATTGATATATT